CAACATGATGCTCCCCAACCTCCTTGATTCCCTTCTCTATAACTTGGAATATATAATGGGCATCATGGATATGATCAGAGGCATCAATAGACCTCCAAAAAACAGTCCCTAAAGGACAATTCACAAGCAAATTCATCTTACTTCTTCTCTTTTTAGCACTCCAAGCATCAGTCATAAAAGAAACCCCATACTGAGCCCATGCATCATTCTTAACTTCTACAGCTTCCTTCGTGACACTCACCGCCTTTTTCAAAAGAGGCTCTGAAAGCTAATATGGGGTTGGGGGTTTCATCCCAGGCCCAAATTGGCCAATTGCCTCTATTGCAGCATAGAAGATGCTTATGCAAGCGATATTGAAAGGAATGCTCACCTCATAAAACCCTGTAGCAAGATAATAAGCAGCTCTATCTCTCTCTTCCTTTTCTATTCTATTTTCAATGGTGGTTTGCTTCTTTGTTTTCTCTCCTGCAACCTCAGGGTCAGGCTGAGGCAAAAAACTATCCATAGGGCCTATAACCCCAGACTTCTTACTCCCAGAACCAGAACCATAAGCAATTACAACTCCCTTTCCCTTTCCCCTAATAATGGATTGTTATAATTTTACCTCTTGATATCCCTACCCAATCTCATCCTCATCACTATCATCATCATCATAATTGACCCGAACCCCAGACCTAATCTCTGTTATAGAGGCAAATCTCTCATCGTTTTTCATTTTTACCATATTCAAAAAATTATTTCCTCTTTAACAGCATCAGGAGTCTTTTTACATGGGGCAATATCCCCCCTAATACCGACAAGATGTTTATTGAACTGGTTTATGCCCCCTTTTGTATCCTTCTCACAAAAATTGCATCTTATGCAATTTTTATCATTAGAATCTGGGTTGTAGCCATATTTCCAACCGGGATCACCACTCCTATTAGATCCCGAAGAAGACATCTCAAAAAATGTAATTTATACAAGCAATAAAAAAAATCACTTACTTTGAGTTTGATTGCTCAATCTCCAAACTTCCTCCTCAAAGGAATTCTAAGGAAATCTTATAAAAAACCCCTCAATAGATTTATAAAACATCAAAAATTAAATCTAATATCAATGGGTGATGTTTTGATCAATTTCTCATAACTTTGAGAAACCCTTCGATTCTAAAGAAATTACCAAAAAACTAGTTTTTTGGGGGGCTTTCTCTCTCTAAAATGGGCACAATAAGTTTTAAGTTTTAAATGGACATAAAACCCCTATTTTTGGCCCTTTAGTATAAAAAAAAAGACAAAAAATGCTCCCATCGAAACCAATTTCCGCCTTTAGGAGGGGCGCTAGACCTAGGCGGTTTCCTGAGCGCCCAGGGACCACCGCTTTTTTTGGGCACCTAGGCCTGGGCGATGCGCCCAGGCCCCCAGATCCGCCTGAGCGGCCGCCTAGGCACTGAGCGGTCCCCTTTTTGGAACACTGTTAGGTCCGCTTCCCAGTAATGCGGCTGTCATTTGTACATGTTGTGCGAAAGGTTGTTGAGGCTTTGGACCTTGCTCTCACGGGCATACAATCGCATAGAGGAGACTACACAGTTCACCTAGCCTGCAAACATCATCCCTGAGCATCTTTCTAACCTCAATAAGGGATGACCCACTACGAACCCTTCTCGACAGTGTCATATGCCCAATAAAGGTTTTGAACATAAACAGGGTCATAAACCGCCTAACCCATAATCAGTCAACACGCACACTCCACTGAAGTGCATATTCCAATATAAAATATCATTTTACAAGCTCTCTAAGCCTTTAAAGGCCACAAAACCCAACATATAATGGCCAAATATTGGTACTTACAAAGTTTCACCTCATTCGGACATGATTTGATGACATTTCCAAGTGTAAGGCAGTTAAACTCATCTTAAAGTATGGAGTCTCTAGAGACTTATCAATTCGTGTCCAAACTTCTCTAATATTATGTAGAGAGGCATAATATGGCCTAAGAATATCGGTCTCATAGCTTGGTCTCAAATTGGGATGTCTTAACAATCTTTGAGTGGATCCAGCTGTTAAGCAATATGGTGACCACCTGCAGGGCTTTCAAGGCAGATTGGGGCTTTGGATGGTAAGTCTTGATTATATTACACCCCATATATGAAATTTGAGGATAGCTTTCACAAAAATGTAAGTCTTGTATAGTACATAAGAGTATCCTTTCGAGCTATAAATAAAAAACAAAACGAAGAATTATTTGCACCATTGTAAATTCATACACTTTTTCTTGTTACCTCCAATATTTTGCATTTGATTTGTATTCAGTCTTAAGGCAAGCAACGAGCAAACCCCAACAAGTTCGGTCATTAGCGTAGCTACAAGGCCGCCCTCATTGAAGAGGGATTTTTGCTGCTGCATATCTTGCAGTTGTATCTTGAAATCATGTCTATTGACTGCTCATAGGGTCCCTCTGTCTATTAGACTTGTATGGGTTTGATGTCATGATTCCCTTTAATCTTAGGATTATTAATCCTACCCATTGGCTGCATATCTCTTCATATATTTGATCCTTAAATTAAATGTACCAAAATTACCCCCACCAAAATTGAAGTTGAACAATTTAATTTAAAATACATGAGGTTTTTTATGCAACTTCTCTATAGGATTTCTTCCATCTCGGACCTCGCCATGGGCCGTGCCATATATCAAAACGTGCGCATTGACGAGACAAAGAACCCTTTGAAATTTGGGCTTGATTGGGCTTAAAACGGAGAGGTTATGACTCTTGAAAGATGATCCTGAGTTCACAAAGCACAATTTCCATTTATGGAAATTGGTTCACCGAGGGTAGCTCAGAATAGTGTAGGGTTTTAGTTTCTTTCATAATTATTTATTTTTGTTTTTTTTTCTGTCATCATTTTCCTACGCTTATGCTTAATATACTCAAAATAGTACAATCGTTTCAGATCATGAATTTAAGGTGTTGATCATGGAAAGGATGTACTGTTCACTGTTTTATTTTTTTTGATATATGAGAAGACGTTATATGGTCACTATTATTTTCTACAGTTAAGATCTTAGGTTCGATGCTTCAGGATTATCTTGTATCGTATGCATAAATGTAAATGCTTTCCATTTCCTGGTGGGAAAGCAAGACGACAATTCTCATAGCTCAAGAATTCACATACACAATTGACATGGATAGTTTGCGACTGATGAGTATGGAAGTATATGAAGATATTGAAATATTGTAAGGTTTTGTGGGATATTGGATGAAGTACAAGAAATTTGTGCAGAAAATAGGCTTGCTTATATAACTTATCATTTGCTAATACTACA